GCTGATTCCAGTTGCCCCTCCTCACTCCTTACTCAAAGAGCTGTTCGGACAGACAAGCTGATTCCAGTTGCCCCTCCTCACTCCTTACTCAAAGAGTTGTTCGGACAGACAAGCTGATTCCAGTTGCCCCTCCTCACTCCTTACTCAAAGAGTTGTTCGGACAGACAAGCTGATTCCAGTTGCCCCTCCTCACTCCTTACTCAAAGAGCTGTTCGGACAGACAAGCTGATTCCAGTATATCCCTCCTCACTCCTTACTTTGTTGCGGGGGTGAAGGTATAAATAAGAACTAAGGGGTCAATCTTGTCATATTTTGTCATTAAGTGATACCATTGTTCTACTGAACACTGTAATACAAGACAACAACATAAAAGTACCTCCATATTAAGATTTTATTCAAAATTTATCTATATTAAAATATTTATGCATGTCCTTAAAACAGATTTCTTAAAATAACTAAAAGTTCACTTAATAAATAAAATTACACCTAGTTCATCTTTCATAGACATTTACGGTTAAGCGATGCAAATATTGATTTTAAAAAAGTTATGCTTTTACAGTTTAAATAAATTTCTTGGAATAACAGATTTATTTGGCTAGACATTGAACTCGCAGTATTTTGTACCCACCACAAACATTTTGCCCAACTTAAAGGATACAGAAAAACCCGACAAATAACTATTAAGAAAGTTCAACAAAACAAATGGAACTGTTATCAATATGACCAATATTAATAGATATCTGCTCAACCTTTGAAACCAAAGGGTTCTGTTCTCGGTACCAAAATCTTTTCTGTACCTCTTAATTATGTCATGATTTTTTTGACCAACTGCTAGACCAATCACCTTACTTTGAAGATTACAGAAGAGCTACACCCAATTTTACTGATACACTGCAATGTGATTCCTTTGATCATCATCAAACACATCAGACTTATCTACTTCCATCATCCACAGGGTGTCGTGTATAAAGCCGTGAATTCTGTCATGACATATTCCACGGGTACAGAGAGAGAAAGAGTTCCGAGAGAAAGGATTTTCAAAGTGGGCCCTGCTGGACAGATTTAAAATTAACCGACTGAGTAGAGGGGAAATTTGCCTGCTGTACGTGTTGTCCTCTTTACGCACGAGCATTTTGTAAGCTTATGTATAATCTTAAGTAACAGCTCTCAGTCTGCCTCGAGTATAAAAATATTTGCTAATCATGACATTTAAATATGGACACAGAAAAGTGAAAGCATTTCCACAAGTTGCACACTCCCAGTCTACTATCACATGCATCAATCTCTTTATCTCACCAAGCTATCTATCTTCTCATATCAAACTTACATTCAATAACCTTTCACATGTAAGCACATAGTTAACGACTTCCAAACACACTACATTCTCCATAAAACATTTGGTCTTTCTTTCTTTATAAGAGACAAAATATGGCCAATAAAAAAAAGAAGCAATATATGAAAAAATAGATTATAATGTTCTGACATGGCTACTATCCATGTTCTCCTGTTTACAGAAGCAAAATTGAAACATTTTTCTATCTTCTCCTACAATTTAACCTATATTTACCTTTACAGTTAATTTACGTTAAACATTTTTCTATCTTCTCCTACAATTTAACCTAATTTACCTTTACAGTTAATTTACGTTAAACACCTGTTGGCACTTGAGCTGTAACACTCTCCTATAGCTACAAGACAATTAGCTGGTTTGATAATGGCTCACCACTCAAGATTATCCTGAAAAGTTATCAACTAGCCTTCAATTGACATGTCATTCGCAATCAGAAAAAAAATCACACTGGTCTTATTTTTGTCTCATGGAAAAGGTCTGTTTTTGCCTTAAATTGCTGAAAGTATTGTCAGCAGAATTTACTACGCTAAAACTATTTTAGGAAACCTCTGACAATTAAGTTTAGATTGAAGTTTACAAATACTACGTATATATTTTTGATTTTTCATGGAGTAACCATCAAAATTAAAGTCCCTGGGACACATGAAAAATGTGCCAAGGATAACCGTTTTTTCACTGCTCTTGTGGGAATTTTACACTAGTAGATGAAGATGGACTTCTTATTTAAATATTCAGTTTAATTGATTGTAACCCTCTGTAAAGACATCTCCCATTAAAACTGATAAAGCGTTACTTGATCATCATCAAACACTACTTACTTACACCAGAATTGATCAATATACGGAAGATCTGGATATTTCTATAAATAAATTGCAGTTTTATAAAGTTTTCGCGAGACATTTAACACTTTCACACTCAACTCTTCGAGATCAACAACTCCTCTTTCCCCCAATCATGTTTGAACAATGGTTTGCTTACCCATTGCTCAAAACATGTTTCAAAGCTCTAAAACATTTACAATTAAATATTGGTTGACCAGACCATATTTTAGTTACTTAAAGATGTCTTTAATCCACTACGTATCACTGTTCATTGCTATGAAACCATTTGTATGGATATCAACAGGTATGTTGCTCAATATAACATGTTAAACCCTTAATGATTGCAATTATTTATCAAGTTTGATTTAAAAGTGGTACAGGGTGATTACAATACATGATTTGACCATGTTACACTGATTACAAAGGCACAGACTATTACAATGATTTGTTAGTGGTAAGGATGATTATAATGACTCAATAATGACATTTATCATGACTCAGTTATGGTCCAGTTGGTAACAAAAGGATCACTAGACGTATGGACAATTACAATGACTCGATAATGGCACAGATGATAAAGAAGAATGAATTAACAGTGGTATAGACAATTACAATGACTCAATAGTACATTTGATAAAGATGAATGAATTGACAGTGGTATAGACAATTACACTGACTTGATAGTGGTAGATGATAACGAAGAATAAATTGACAGTGGTGTAGACAATTACACTGACTCGATAGTGGTAGATGATAACGAAGAATGAATTGACAGTGGTATAGACATTCACAATGACTCGATAGTGGTAGATGATAATGAAGAATGAATTGACAGTGGTATAGACGATAACAATGACTCGATAGTGGTACAGATGATAACGAAGAATTAATTGACAGTGATAATGATGATAACAATGAATTGATAGTGGAACAGATGATAACGAAGAATGAATTGACAGTGGTATAGACGATAACAATGACTCGATAATGGTACAGCTGATAACAAAGAATGAATTGACAGTGGTAATGATGATAACAATGAATTGATAGTGGTACAGATGATAAAGAAGAATGAATTAACAGTGGTATAGACAATTACAATGACTCAATAGTACATTTGATAAAGATGAATGAATTGACCGTGGTATAGACAATTACACTGACTTGATAGTGGCAGATGATAACGAAGAATAAATTGACAGTGGTGTAGACAATTACACTGACTCGATAGTGGTAGACGATAACGAAGAATGAATTGACAGTGGTATAGACGATAACAATGACACGATATGGGTACAGATGATACATAGAATGAATTGACAGTGGTATAGACATTCACAATGACTCGATAGTGGTAGATGATAATGAAGAATTAATTGACAGTGGTATAGACGTTCACAATGACTCAATAGTGGTACCGATGATAACAAAGAATGAATTAACAGTGGTATAGACAATTACAATGACTCAATAGTACATTTGATAAAGATGAATCAATTGACAGTGGCATAGACAATTACACTGACTTGATAGTTGTAGATGATAACGAAGAATAAATTGACAGTGGTGTAGACAATTACACTGACTCGATAGTGGTACATGATAACGAAGAATGAATTGACAGGGGTATAGACATTCACAATGACTCGATAGTGGTAGATTATAATGAAGAATGAATTGACAGTGGGATAGACGATAACAATGACTCGATAATGGTACAGATGATAACAAAGAATGAATTGACAGTGGTAATGATGATAACAATTAATTGATAGTGGTACAGATGATAACGAAGAATGAATTAACAGTGATAATGACAATAACAATGACTCTATAGTGGTACAGATGATAACGAAGAATGAATTGACAGTGATAATGATGATAACAATGACTCGATAGTGGTACTGATGATAACGAAGAATGAATTGACAGTGATAATGATAACAATGAATTGATAGTGGTACAGATGATAACGAAGAATGAATTGACAGTGATAATGATGATAACAATGACTCGATAGTGGTACTGATGATACATAGAATGAATTGACAGTGGTATAGATGATAACAATGACTCGATAGTGGTACATTTGATAAAGATGAATGACTTGACAGTGATAATGACAATAACAATGACTCGACAGTGATAATGACGATAACAATGACTTGATAGTGGTACAGATAAAGAAGAATGAATTGACAGCGGTTTATATGATTACAATGGCCGTTTGACATTGGTAAAAAAAAAAGATGAAAATTATATTAAAATGACAAATGTCATCTGATGATCTGTGTCGATGTGAAATATACACTATGTACTTCAAATGATTGTTACATATTTATTTTTAAGTAACTCCTCACGACTTTTTACTTTACTCTACAAACATTAAATCTTGACAGAATGTGGGTTTTTTTGGGGAAAAAATAAATATTCAATCACAAATGAGAGATCTACTTGGCTTTTCAATCCGAGTTCACGAATCTATTTCATCACAGTATATCACGATTAACTCTGAATCCATTGCATCACGAGGAGCTGATGTAACAGTCTCGACACACAAGCCATACCAGATGACAGAAAGCAGAATACAACAGGGTCCAGAACATGATCAACATGGTGAATGGTCGTCTCGGTAGCAGCCTTCCTCCACAAGTTTAGGAGCCATAACTGGGGGAAATGTTACATCACATATTTTGGCCTCGGTAAGAATTCATTGTAGATCGACTCCTGAATCACATCAATAGTACAAAGACAGGATTTTCTCTGCTCTCCCTGTTTATTCAGGATGTCGGCCTGTCCTTTGCCAGTAGGGCAGTATGTTGTCCTCCAGACGAAACCATTATCACTGACCTAAAACAGAAACATACCAGAAATACCATGAAAGCAGTCATTACAAATAGGACATTTTCCCTTAATAATTTACTAGACATTGTCAAAATACTGCATCAAACTATTAGGAAAGTTGTTTACTGAAATAATATTATCTGCAATAACTTGTCAAGTTGAGAATTTTATCATCTTCAGATGTTCTATACAAATTTCTCAACCTGTCATTTCTGTTTTTCAGTAAATTCAAAATCCATGTTAATTTTGCTATTCACACAAATTTTGTATATATATGGCATGTTGTGTACTAATAATCACTGCCAAAATAGAATTCACACCGATTACCTAGACAAAAAAGGTGAAAAATTCCTGGTATACAGTAGTTCTTAAGTCAGTACATTTAGAAAGAGAAGTAGCCATAATCTAACTGTTAATTCCTGAATAACATTTGCTGCACTTCGCTGTAGTGCCATGATATGGATGAAAGTAAATACACTGCAAAAGTTTCATATTCTACAAAATCAGATAGGTAATTCTCACCTGTTTTCAAGCTGCTTTCCACCCATTTTGGTAGGCACCCATGCATCTTCGTCATTGCCTGTCCCAAGCTGCTGACTCGTCCCCATACCCCAGCTATACACAGTTCCTAAAACAACAAACACCATTGGTCATACTATCCACCCAACACATTTTTTAAACAACAAACATCGTAAAGTCAATCCATCCCAGGCAAAAACGCCTGAAATAGTTGTTAAATTTATCAAATTGTTATAATAACTACTGTAATGCTATGATTTTTACTTTCTACATAACTAAACACTGGCACTATAAATGCCAGATATTGATTAAAAATACCATGATGATTGTGAGTTTACTGTACTTGTATAAAACTAGTGACGACTTACCTGATTTTGTTAGAGCAAAGGAAACAGATTGCCCAGCAGCCACATCCATACAGGCCTCTGGGACCCCTGGCACCAATGTAGGTTCCGACTTCTCCGTGGTGACATCCTCCCCTAGTCCGAGACGCCCGTACTCTGATCTGCCCAGAGTATACACTTTACCTGTGAACAATAAAGTTACTTATAAGCTATGAAAGAAAAAACACCAAAGTATCAATGAAACACTTGTAAAACTTTGCCTACTTTACATAAAAGAAGCATTCTAGTTTTGAGATTCACACTGTTTTTTTCTTTTAATCCAAGTAACATCCTTTAATAATCACATGAACATGATATCTTTCTGGACGGTTTTGAAACAAAAGGGCATTACTCCTGAAATTGGAGGGGAAATTCTAGTTTATATACTTTATTCACATCCCCTTTAAAATGTAAAGGTTCTGTGCACGAAATATTATTAAAATTGGTGTTATACTTTAGAGAAGCAGTGTGAATCGTCTTTTTTACGTGTAATTTATACCCTTTTTTATCATTCCCACATTATCAGAGTTCTGTGTACCAAGTATCATTACAATTAGGGCTATCATGGTTTCAAAATTTAGTACAACACTTTTGTTGGAGTAGAACAATGTTTTTATAGGTCCATACATTGGGGCGGTAGCTACAATCGATCCCCTCCATGTATAGGTTCTGTGTACCAAGTATCATTACAATTGGTGCGGCACTTCGAGAAGAGTAGTGAAAACAATATTCTGTCAAGGGAGAGACAACTTGATTCAAAACTTTGTTCATTATGCAGATTTGTTTTTACTTCAACCTTAGCACAAGTATTTGTGTGCGATATAAATATTGTCCAAATTCATTCATCTGATCAGATTTCACAGTGTTAAAATGCGAAAAGAGTTAACAAATCAGAATGCAGAATGCTTATCAATTATGTGCAGTGTGTCTTTGTATAATAAAATATCCACCAAGTTTTAGGATTTTTTTCATCATAATTATATTTTACCAAGTTATTGTGCAAAAAGCATCCTCCAAAAAGAATTCAGTATATAAATAAATAGTGCACAGATTTTGTCCAACGTCGAACTTTGCCTTTTCCCCCCATATATTTATCTGAAAGTGCTGATCATATTTTGTTAATTTATTGTGCAGAAACCATCAACAGATAAGAGCAAATAAAGCTTATATCTTTGGGGATTTCGCTTAAACTAAGTCTTCATATAATGTAAAGTTTAACCAGTTTTAACATCTAAATCGAAGGATTTTCAGCAATTTATCTTGAAGAAACCAAACAGTGGATTGCAGGACATTAACCATACCGCAACATACTTCCTGTAAATTTTTGACAAGTTCAAAAAACAAGAGCTGCTCTTGTCAAGAACTGGTATAGACAGTTACTTACCATTTGTGTCCATAGCAATTGTGTGATGTTGGCCACCATCCAACTTTTGCCACTTGTTGCCAGAGAATGAACCAACTCTTTCAGGTACAAAGCGATTCTTCATGTCACTAAATCCTGTCAATTGAAGGACAATCATATAAATTACATGCGTAAAAGGATATACATTTACCATAAATGTCATGCATAAAACCCATGCCTGATTATAAGCCCATGCAATTCCATTGCAGCTCAGTAAAATGCAATTGTATGCTAGTTCATTTTCTTGTTTGCTCATATCCCTACTTTTATATCTGTACCTCGGATATCATTGTCACCCTTGGCTTTGCCTTGGATGACAGCGATACCCTCAGAGTGACACTAGGCACTATCACACTCCAATTATGTAGTATTTATATATTTCTATCTTAATGATAAACTATCAGCATACTAACCCCCCCCCCAGCAATATAAATCACAGTACATTACTAACAAATTCATTTGTATTCATATAAACTAAGGCCGTCACAATATATCGGAAAACAAGTATATATTGCAATACACAGGAAATTGTATCGTACCACAATACAGAGATAAAATATTGCTGTATCGCAATATTTTCAAAAGCTTATTTTTATGTATCTGCTTGGTGTTTTAACTTTCAAAATTACTTCAAAATGTTAACAGATATACCAATAAGCATAAAACAGGCTTTTAGTAGAGGTGGGAATCAGTTCAAATTTTGTAATCGATGATTGATTTGACTAAAACCTTAAATTGATGTGATCCATATTATATATGATCAAGACTGATAATATTCTGACACCAACTTAATAATAAAATTGAGCACATCTTTCCTTTAACAATACATTGGGATACACTCTTGGCGAATTTTGACCCCCCTTATATAACCAGTTGATGATGTACCTAGTTGGAAATAATTGTCGAGTCCCCAGGAGAACACCTCCCCAGAGCCTACTTCCATGGCATATGTTGCAAACTGGCCTGCCCACACATCACTAAAAACTGTCTTCCGCCGCCTACACTTCACTTTGGTAGGAGTCAAAATAAAACCTACAAAATAAAAGTAAAAAGCCATCAAGGACACATCAATATTGCAATTTACAGGACTTCTTTTCGAATTTGTCTCATGGAGAATTTGGCTGTAAAAGGGTTAAATGTGAGGTACAGCATACAAAATATTTTCGACCTTTTTAAGTCAAATAAGGCATCTCCATTATTCATCAGTTGTATTCTGTGTAAATATTGGTCAACACACTTTTATTTATTAATTTTTCAATTAAGCAATGTCTAGTAAAGCCCCACTAAAGTTTAATGAACTTGACAAAGATTCTGAGTTTTACCACATAATTTCCCTAGGTGATGAGGAACTTTCTACTTATGCATCTGCAGAAAATGATAATTGACACGGCATCATAGACTCAAGTTTGATACATTGATGAAACAGTAGATATGAAATATATCAATTTTCACAGCGGCAGAACAATTTAGATCTTGAGAGTAATCCATTGTTAACAATATCCAGTAATACTTTCATATCACTTCAATTTTTCAAAGGGCCATTATCTTGTATTAATTGGGACCCAAGACCTGATTTCAGTATGAAGCACTCTGCCATCCCAAGAGATAATCATATTCTAAGTTTTGTAATTGTCAGTGGCAGTACTTGTGATACCACCTGGCCAATATGATACACTTTGACTGACAGACTGAGTGCAAACCTCTAGCTCCTACTGATAATGGATAGTTTTAAACTTTTTGTAAAAATTCAACTTCTGCTGTTCACTTTAAGTCATTACATTGACAAGGTTGATGTATATTTTTTCAAGGGAAAATCTAGAAACCAACGGCCCTTGAAAACAAGTTATTTGAGCAAACTTGGTGTCAAAGCCCCAAATAAAAGACACGTCAACAAATTGCATTATTTACTTAAGCCCTTTCTGCCTCCTCTGGTGGTAAAACATTCTGCCACTCTTCCTAGCTGTCCTTGTTCAGCACAGCCTGTAACAGATTAACACAACTGTCAGTCTGCAGGTTTCACAACTCAAATTTGACTTTAATAATATCAATACACAAAACCATTGCTTCACTTTTCCAGTTTTTAAGTTCTGTTTTCCAAAAAACATCCATGAAAAATAATTTAATAAGGTTAAATTACATTTATGCTCTCGTGCATCACCAAATATTGTAAAAGGCAATGATCAAGTGAACTAAGTAAGTACCCAATAACAGTTATTATAACACTTAGCATATAACATTAAGCTAAAGATTTCTTAATTTTATACACAAAAATGCATTTATATGCTGGAATAAGTTTTTTAATATATATTACAATTTATACCAAACATACCAAGTGTAAGTAGGTAGCCTAATTTATAATGTGTCAGTATGCATAGATCTATCAAACGGGCAATCAAGCTTTGGCCCGACACATACCAATGTAAGTATAATGTGTCAGTATGCATATATCAATCAAACGGGCAATCAAGCTTTGGCCCGACACATACCAATGTAAGTAGGTAGCCTACTTTATAATGTGTCAGTATGCATAGAACTATCAAACGGGCAATCAAGCTTTAGCCCGACACATACCAATGTAAGTAGGTAGCCTAATTTATAATGTGTCAGTATGCATAGATCTATCAAACGGGCAATCAAGCTTTGGCCCGACACATACCAATGTGAAAGATTTTGCATGGAAACAAAATAGAATGTTATATATACAGAGGGATGCATCCAAATATATATATTTTCATTTTCTAAAAATTGCTGATTTAATCTGATTTCAATTTGAACTGGTCTCATCCACCAATCAGAAGTTGTTACCTACCCCAGGTGTAAATTTCTCCTTTATCTGTCAGACACACAAGGTGATCTCCACCAGAGGTGACTTTTACTATGGTTTCGTTGTGCAACACCTCCACAGGGACCTTCTGTAAGCCACCAGGTATCAGCCCTATAGAGCCGTTACAATCCTTGACAAAACAAAATATTCATTCTTCATTGAAATTTGTAAAAAATAACCAACATTTTACCTTTAGCATGACATACACTGTCTGCATTTTTCTAGAAATTTTATCGCCGGAGATGACTTTATTTGACACATACAAGTTAGTGAAGTTATTCTAGTCGAAGTTCCCCTTAAATACACAAATCTGTTCGTAGCTTTTCCATATCTGCTCCTTTTTAGAGATCCATTAGAAAATCAATTTGCAAGAGAATGATTCTTAATTTAAGATTTTCTTTAAACTACAAAAAAGAAGAAGAAAAAAAAGCAGGTACTTACATAGATATAACCCCCACCCCAGCTTCCCAAAAAGTGAAGCATGACCTTTGATCTTTCAACATTGCCTGATGACCACCAAAATCTAATCAGGTAGCTATATATATATATGGAACATTGCTTACCCTGAAGTTCCCCCATATATACAGTCGTCCATCATCAGTTAGAGCAGCAGTGTGACTGTCTCCAGCGCTGACTTGGACCACTTTGGCCCCTAGCGGAACTTTTCCTGGTGACATCTCTGACCCCTCCTCTGATGTATCTCTACCCAAGGAACCTTCATCATTACAGCCAAATGTTATTACCTGAAAACAATAATCTGTTATTAATTTTATTGGTAAGTATTCAAAGTTAATTTGAGACTCCAACTAAAACCCATGTGCCTCTTGAAAAATAATAATTTAACTGCTTAAAATTTGAAAAATAAACAAAACTCGCAAAACTTTTCCAGGTTTTTTCTCTCAATTTGCATAGAACAATTTAACATTTAAAATGAAGGAAAAACAACAGAATTGCTTATTGAAGAGATCTTTTCTCTCTCTCTCTTTACTTTTGTTTGTTAAATTATAAAAAAGTTCTTTAGTATGAAGTAGAAAAAAATGTTTCAAATTGTAAACATCTTTCACCTACAATAAATATTTCAAGGTAAGAAATATTTTCTATGCAATTAGTTAATATAAGCTAACAGATTTTTTCAAGATTTGAGATGGGTTCATGTCGGTGTACTACGCATACCAGAAAGAAAACAACATTTTATATCTGTACCTCGGACAACATTTACTATATATTAATACAAGAAAACTAGTAGCATGGTATGATGCTGTGAAAGAAATCTGCTTAAATTATGTTTAAACCATATGTAAATACCTTGGCACATTTTCAATTTTCTTTTCAAATCTGTCTCATTATGTCCCTAAATTCTAAGACATCAAGTTAAACCAATTCACTGAATTTCATAGTTTCTTGTGAATTACATATTTTAACCTCCAGTGCTTACCTCCCCTTTGACAGTAACACAAACTGTGTGCATTCCACCACACACAACTTGAATGACTTTTTCATCCACACTTGACACGAGGGTTGGTCTGCTTCTCTCCAACACATCTTCACCAAGCCCCAGCTGACCTACATCTCCCTCACCAAGGACCAACACCACTCCTTCTTCACTCTGATGTGAACTGTGGCCTACTGCAAATAATAACATTCAATTGTAACAAATTAAGTCCTTTGCAATTAAGTTGGTCTATATTTCTTTAATTTGCAATCACAACTAGCAAAATTGGTGGACAACTTGATTTCAGCTATTCACTTAATAAACCAAACTTTTTTTACAACTAAAACAGTATGGTTATCAGCATTAGAACTATGTATACCCACTTTTAACTGTGATATTTTTCAGGATGAGTATTTTCATTGGTTATCTCTCGACACTTAACAATTATCACAATTGGACGGGGTCAATCAATCCTCACTGACTTTAAGCACAACACTCAATCATTAGTTTAAACCATGCTTGAAATACCATGCCGGAGGCACGCAACACAGCATTCTGCCCAGTCACATTTTACTGACAGTGAACCAGTTGTTGCCATTCCCCTAAATGCTAAACATTAAGCAGGGAATAACAACTACCATTTTTAAGGACTTTGTTTGGTATTTCCTGGCCAATGCTCAACATTCGTGCCAAAAATGCAGAGATAATCCTGACGGGGGAAATGGGGCCATTGACCACTCAAAACTGAAATTGACCCCTCCATGTTCTAATTTTCTTTTAATTTTACATAGAATGGCCCCTCTTAATTTTGATATTGACTAAAAATTGCTACAATGGCCCTCTGCTCTAAAATTCCAGGATTTTCTCTGAAAGTGAGGTGTTGCCAAGCAAGGCACTAGGAAATAAAAGGTAATTAGAAGTAGAAAGATAAATATCCCAAATATTTGTGTCCCCAAAGAAAATCCCCAATTCTGCAGGGGTCCCACATAAGTCGCCTCCTACGATACATGGTGGGTACCAGCAGGTGCATTCTTTTCCCGATCTCCCACCTGCAGGGGTGTGTTTCCGAAGCACTAATTCTTTTATGTAGATTCCAAAATTGACTTGAATTACTCACTTAAGTGGTTAACAATTCATGACAACGATGTCTACCCGCGTTAGATATCATATGCTTGCCAGACACAAGTATATTATGGAATAGAACACTCAAAATACATGTACATGTCATTGTAGCACTTCTCTGACCTTCTTTTAAACATGGCTTCCTGGGTTAATACAAAGTAGCAGGGGGGATTCAAATTGAAGAAATGATACGGAGCTTGCTTGTATTCATCTTGTAGGTCTACATCCTCGGTATCCACTAATCAAGGTGTTACGCTCACTTTACTGGAATATGTCATAGCAAAATTGAAGGCACAAAGATAGCTGTTTGATTGGTCTCCGGTAAAAAAACTGACCAATAGCTAGGCTGATACATGTCCTTTGAAGATTACAAAGGAGAGGCGCCTGACTTCAAAGCCTGTCAAATTTAACCATTATGTGACTACGAGATTCGTTGATGTATATCAAAGGATCGAAGTAGTCTTCATGTCTCATCAACAAGGTGGCGCACACCAAGCCTTCAATTCTGCTACGACATATTCCAGGGGTGTAGAGAGCGTAAGTGAAATGGAAAATAACGGCAACTGCTGCTTTGAAAGAGGAAAAACTCATTATTTATTCTTTGACACAAAATTCTTCTCATTTAATCATGGATTTATGGAGAGTAATATTGATTGGACCCTGTTGAAGATTTAAATATATGTAAACACGATATACTTTTTCAAAATCTGAACTTTGAACATTTAATCATCAGCATCGGGGAAATCAACTATGGGCAGTTGTTTGAGGTTACACGGCGCCTGTCAAAAGTATCTCGCCGTGTAAATCTGTAACACTGTTGGAGTATGTTGGTAATGTGCTTTTGCTGGAAACAGATGGTAATCATTACCAGAGAATAAATTACTTGCACACAAATTCTTACTTTTGTGTCTCTTTGTTTCTCCATTTACGCTTCCTTCCGACTCTCTGGACCTTTTTTTCCCTCTACCAGGCATGATCTGAAATATGAAAAATATTTACATTAAAACAGACATGATTCGAGTGATATTTGTATAAAACAATCATTCAAATGTTATATTCAAACTTTGTTTGTCTTACTCTTATGGCTGGCTTTACAATGAGATATTTTGAAATGTTCTACATAGATATTGTACCTATAATTCATCCCTTACTTAAGTTATTGTATAATTACTGTATAATGTACATGGAACACACATTTGTCATTACACAGATTGAAACCAGTTTTATATTGTATTGAAAAGCATTCTATATACCAGTGACTTTTACGTAAATTGCACTTGTACAAGTAACCAGATTCTATCTATATACATGTATGTTATACTCCACATAGACCAAAATTGCTTTAATGCGGAGATTGACCCCCCCCCCCAAACACACAGTTACAGTATTTATTATAAATGACGAAAAACTATTGTACCTACACGGCGATTTACAATTTGGAAATAGTAACTTTGACTTCTTTTAGTATAAGATGTTACACAAAATAGTTTTACACGCTATCAAGTGATGACAAATTAAAATCAACAACAAACACTCGATGAACAGAACTAAGTACACAGCACATGCTTTGAATATGTTGATTACATTAGGAGACAGGTTGACTTCGTTAACACAAGAATGATTGCATATTTGCCTTCAAAACCACATAATTCAAGTCTGGTTTTAGTGTTCTCACCTTGCAGTCTATCGTATGTTACGCCTCGTGTTGTCTTTTTGAAATGACGGTTCCCGCCAAGCATGCGCTCTATGATTTTACCTAAGAATCAGTAGAACCCTACTAATCAACATCCGGGAGAGGAACACTTTTTGTTAAATCTTATTTATAATAAATGATTTTATTCACAAGAATATGGACGATATAAACATGCGATGGTTATATTCATATCCATATAATATATTCATTTATTTTAATGAACCGTTCTTGTAGAATATGGTAAAATCACCGGAAGTGCTGGTACGTTAGCTAAACAAAAATCGGCCCAACATAGGCCAAAAAGACCGTTAGGCCTAATCGTGATCCAAACGATTTCATACGTACAGAGCCATCTGAACGTTGAGACCAATTTCAACAGAAAAGGAACTCTGTACCTATACATATATACACACAAGTCTATCCATAATGGGTGACCGTTACAACATTCATAGTCAACTGGAACACTTGCAGTCGAAATACATCGGAACCGGCCACGCTGACACAAACAAATGGGAATGGCTAACCAACCAGCACAGAGACAGTTATGCATCATATCTTGGACATACTGACATGCTGAACTATTTCGCTTTGGCCGAAAATGAAGCCAAGGCAAGGGTTAAATTCAACCTGATGGAGAGGATGCTGCAGCCATGTGGACCCCCTCCAGAGCGACCAGAAGACTAAGATTATCAGATATACATCAAGCTGTCCGTGTCGTAATTTATATTGAGAACAGACATTCACCTTAATCATGTTTTTCATCAGCACTCAGAAGATCGAATGAAGATGTGTGCTCATTCAATAATATCCAGGCTTTCATGAACAATTTCCTTTCAAGACATTGTTTTACACATTTATATATTTGTTAAAATTTTAGTGTCTGTTTTCATGATGTATGATTTTCAACGTCCTCATCAAATAACTCTTCGTTATCAACACATCTGATTATTAAAATTATAAAAACACAAAATCAAAATTGTTTGAATAATTTCCTTAAAAGCTCGTGGGGGTAACTTATATATATTTAAAGACAATAATGGTGACTGTCAACTATAGACATGCATCATCCATGTAGATGAAGAAGATTGAATTCAAGCACTTGTTTAATTATCTGCGATAACGTAGCTTTCTGACGACGAGATTTTTTTATATATTGCCTCGGGGCAGAGGAGGCCGGATATTAATATTAGTACTATTGTTTAATTACTAATATTTATGAGTTTGTAGGTCATGAATATTTTAAAAGTGTATTAATACATGAACATATTACTTTACAAGTAAACAATTTCTATACGACATGATATTCTCTTTCTCAAGCTTAATTTTTGTTTTTAATCTATACTTCACTGTATGATTGTATCTACATTGGCCTGAGTTTCCTCTTTCCCTGACACCCAGATTAGACATTCCGACAGATTTATACACAATGTATTTATATGTAGACTAGTTTAAATACAGCATTTACTGAAAATCCTTCAGCTATTGAATTGCAGTGCAAGAAAATAATTTTAGATGCCACTGCTAGTCCAGCTGGAGATTTTACTAGTCTCGGACTATCTGGTTACCCGTTAAGTTTTTGTTTAGCCCAGTATATTGTTCCAGACATACTAATAAGCAGTATCTGAAATGGAACCATAATTTAGTTGTACATTTGTACTTTAAATTTATTATTCAAAAATAAACAACTGTACCACTCACCTTGTTATCCATCGCACATCTATGACATTCAAAGATAATTCAATAGCGTTTTACACCATTCAGCAACAGGTCAATTAACACAACCCTTAGGCTTTCATAGCAAGGTGTCAACTGTCATGGCAATTTAGAAGAATTTGTTTAAATACATTCAATTCCTTTGACCTTGAACAAACTTGATAGCCCTTTATTGAAGTATGGTACTGGCCAAATGTTATCAACCTTGGTCTGTGGGTTATTTATCAAACACATCAGTTAAAGGTACATAATCAACACTTTACACGGCTCGGGGAAAACTTTTGAAATGGTAATCATTTGTCCGGCGAACAAGTACATGGTAAAAAGTACTCGTCCAAACAGAAAAACCACTCGTCCAGGAAAATAACAAACAAAAAACTAATCTTAAACATCAAATTAAAAAAGCAGTATTTTGTTTGGCAGCGGTGGCGTAGCACACATGTATGCTCAAGCATACACTAATTTTTTTTTATAATTACGGTTATATGCATCATCCGTATCAATCATAAATAAGGAAATCATGAATTTTTTAGTCTTATAAAATAGTGATGTTATATCTATACACATTAAATAATCCCGACGGTTTATGTAAATCAAAAACTACTTTGTGAAGTTCTTAATTTAATATTAATCGTATAAAAGGTGTCTTTATTCGACTGCTCTTGCCCAGAATTAAGCTTGATCATATATCTCTTAATACCGGCAACTGCTACTGGAAAAATATCATCACTCAAGGCATCTTGGTTATTAACAAGAACTTGTTAAAATGCTTTCAACACATCTGACCCATGTTACCCTGGAACATGGATGAAGATCAATCAGTTTAATCAACTTGATATCTGTTTATCCCAGAATGCTTATGGGCCAATATCGTTACCCTCAGCTTTTTGATTATAAAAAACAAAATGTTTGAAGGTTATGAACAGATTTGACTCCAGTGACCTTGGATATGGGTGAAGGTCATTCATTTCGAACACACTTGATAGCTCTTAGGTACCTATCCCAGCATGGTACTGGCATAATGTCATCACCATTGGCCTTTTGGTTATTCAGAAGTAGTCAGTTAAATGTTTTCATATGGGATGCACCTTAGTCTGTTGGTAGGACGCCAGGCTCATGATCGAAGGGTTGCAGGTTCAAGTCGTGGCACGGTGTTGTATCTTTGAGCAAGATACTTTACTCTGCTTGTTCCAGTCTATTCAGCTGTAAATGAGTACGTGGTCGTGGTCGGACAGTGCTAGAAATGTAGAATGTTAGCTGTGAGCGCCAAAATGGCAGCATCGGCTATATGCTCCACAGGGAATTGAGAAAGATATTCTCAATTTAACCACGGATAACAATTTGTGAACCGCTCTGAGATGAACTAAGTTGTGATAAAGCTGTATAGAAGAACCTCAAATTATTATTATTATTATATGAACAAACTTGATAACGTTTCATTCCAGCATGCGTTTTGCTGAATGTCATTATCCTAGACCTCTTTGGTTATTCAGAGGTCGTTTAAAGTTTTGAACACATTTGACCACTGTCACCTTGATATTGGTGAAGGTGAGCATGTTACTGGCAAAGGTGTTTTGACGTTTATTCTTTATAATTTAAAAATTACCATTCATCACACATCAAAACTATCGCCATACTATTACAAAAAGTACCTCTTAGCTTTAGCCATGCAATTTACGTTTTAACTTTGAAAATATTGAAAAAAGTCCCACAGAAGGGGATGCATCGCCATCCTCGAAATTCCATGGGTTACGCCCTTTTACCTTCTTGCATCATGGAATATGTCATGACGAAATCTATCCAAGAAGGTCAAAGCAGTCATATTGAATACATTAAAAATCTGGTTCAAAATAGAATGTGATTGATGAATTAATATGTTAAAATCGAGGAATCTCTTTTGAAAATTATTTCAAGGAAACCGTTTTACTTTTCAAGAAGTTAAAAATGTACCGTTGGTGGCTATGTTTTTTTGCTGATTTTGAAAAAAGAGTCAGACTTGACAAAATAGAAAAATCTGTATGTAAAAAAGGTTTATGAATATCGAAGTATTCCTTCAAGAGTTATTGCTCGAAAACCATGTGACTTTTCAAGAAATACAAAATGTCCACAAGAGCCGCTCGCTGTCTTGTTGATTGATTTCCAGATTTTAGTCAAAACCAAACTTGAGCGTTTAACCAATACTATAGATACAAAGTGGCACAAAAATTGAAGATTTATCGAACCATTTAAATGGCTGCTGATAGCCATGTTAAATTTTAAATTTGGGTCAAATTTCAGGTGTTAATTGACACTATTAGCTTGTATAAAAAGTTTCAGGAAAATCAAAGTATTTCCTCCAAAGTTATCACATGGAAACCATTGGTGCTGAGGATGATGGCGTCGACACATGGAAAGACGCCAAGCAGAGGAGTGGCTGATCACAGGGGTGGGTACAGGTGAGGGCGTAATGGGCGTACGCCCCTCTTTTCAAAAAAAAACACCCTATCGTAATCTGCTAATATTGTATTGAATATGGCAATTTATCATATTCATTAATTAAACACATACTCTGATTTCTTTTTATACTGATTCCCCCATCCGATGGGTGATCCGTAAAATTTCTTAAAATGGTTCTAATGAATCCACTCTAGTCTAACCATTCATTGAAAATGAGAGTCCGTCAGTATTTATGTGTTCATTTTAGGTTTTGCGTTAAGGTGCATTTATACTAGTAACATGTATATTTGGTATAGCATTTTTACTTCCCACCTGGACAGCCTTTGGTTTCAATATCCATTAGTGAGTAACTAAGTGACATTGACCTACATTTTGCCATGAAGTTCAAGCACCATATTTATCTATGTACCATATACCACTTATCGGAACTAGACAGTGACATGATTGCTTTAATTTAGTACTGTAGTACAATGACGTCAATTTTTCATATTCAATCATGTATTCCACATTAAAGCCTACAATATTTAGAACGAAAGAACTTTATACTTCAGTGTTTGTTTGTCTTGTACCATGTATGTCGTTCAACGAAACCAGAACTTAATCTAAAATAGAGAGATATTTATCAGTCTGGCTACTTCATAATTTGATGCTAAATTGTCATGAGCTTCTGAGCTTCCCCATGGACCCTCTATCAGGGCAACCGTAATCACGCCTCCCGTTCATAAAATCCTGGCCTAGGACTATTAAAATGTTAAGTAACGCATTATACCATAGAATTTGGAATTTCTCGTTATTGGTCTACTGCTGTTAAGATCCATCCAATCATTTTAATATACCATAAACAATTAATGGAGAGAATTCGGCATAAGAAGTGTCAAACCCTGACACTTTCACTATAAAATATACATTCTCCAAGTCAGGAACCGTTACATTAGTGCATTTCACAATTATTTTATGTTTTTTAGGGGAAAAAAGGTCCAATTTTTTTCCGCATCGCTCCGCTCGGTGAAAGATTTGATTCTAAATATCCTAGAAACGCCCCTGGATCATGCGTCTATAATCAAATTTCGTATGTGGATCCCATATTGTCAGGATTTCCACTCGTCCCATGATTATATTTAAGTTATCTGTTTTATCCTCTGGAAGTTAAAACTAGCTATAGGTTACTTAAGTGGATAGATGCACTAACAGGCGAAGGTGTATACTCGCTCACCTGTTCACAGTATAATGAAGATTGACAAGAAAGTTATCACGGGAAATTTTATGAAATTGCTCACCAATCCCTTAATTCATTATTTATGTATATTTAACAACACATCCGTTTTACTTTACTGAGTGACATTTTATACGCCGGAAGTATTTTGTGTTAAGTGTCAATGACATAAACGCTCTTTAGCTGTACAGCTTTAACTTTTGACCCTGTCAGACATGTAATTGTTTTGAACCATTGTCGTCTGATAAACTCGTCCATTATTACGTCCATCCTATACCTTTTGATATAGTTCTATTACCTAATGAGATTAGCTGGTCGGACACATCCTTGGGTCTGAAAGGTCAACTTAATTGGCTTATCTGGTCAGGTACATGGGAGTTGGCTTGGTTTTATGGGGTTTAACAACCTATAACAGCTAAGATCAACGTGCCTCCATGTATACTGGCTACATATGTTTTTAGTACTGCAGAAATCACCCACCGACCTTAAGAAAGTCGGTTTAATAAATCTCTCTTATGACCACATTCAACATCTCCACAACTTAATAAAAAAATAACCGCACTAAATGCCGATATTATATGTTAGTGCAGGAACTGCTATTCTAAGTTGAATTGAAAGTGGACTTATTTGGCCGTCATACTTTTAGGTAGTCTATCCTGGGTCTGTTAGATGAAGAGTTTTGCAGATTGTTAGCTCAACTAATACAAAGTACATGCATTTGATAGTTTATGGGATAGTGCAGAATCCATTGTTTGTCAAGTTGTTCTTTATAAAAAAACTTGTTTCCCCGTACCACTGTAAATAAAACTGTAAACTATGAATTGGACCGTTTTTTCTCCTACCCTTCACAGGCGTGTCTCCCGTTTTAGCCGGGAAAGATCAGCTTGTCACCCCCTAGGGGGAGATAGCCTCGTGCCGATTAGCACACGTATTCAATTGTGACGTCATTAAAATGCGTCATCGGTAATTGTGACGTCCTCAAAAGTGAATGACGATATGCATACCCCACATGTGTTTTGGTTTACAAACATGGCAGACTACTGTCGGTGGAGCTGTGACTGAAATAATAGGATGGGAGAAAAATAATCATCCCCTACCTTGAGGGTGTAACAGAGAAATCTCCAACCCTCGGGGTGATTTTTTTGGTTGTTTAACCATCACTCCTCGGGTTTGAGATTTCTCTGTCACACCCTCAGGGCAGGGGAAGATTATATTAATCTGCATGATTATAATAGTTTTCCATAAATCAATTCTGAAAGGGAACCCAAAATATGGTCACCTTACCAACTGAGTCATATACCAACACGGAATTAAAAGTTTCTGTATGTATGAGCAAGTGTAGCCTGTAGTTTTTTCTTGTTACTTGTCTGCAATGCGACAACTTGAGAATCATTGGGCATAGAGTCATATCCTGTTTGGCTTGTATAGCTTTAATTGTTAGATAAACCGCAAATACATTTGGAAAATCAACATTGACAACATTTTAAGGTTAGCGAGGGTCAAACTAATCAAATTAATCCAAATGGCTTCTGAAAACTGCTTAAGATATCAAGCGGACACTGTTTCAGCAATTGAATAAAGGGCCACAACTCCATAAAATATATATATGGTCGTATAATGATAATGGTTATCAAACTTGTCCAAGCTTGCATGGTAATTAACCATCCAATGAAGTTGAAATGTAATAGAGATATTGAGCGGTCATTAAGCTCTCCCGCGTCTTTCGACGGTCGTTTGAAAACCTGGTTAAATTCCAAAAGGACTGTATTTTAGAATATTTAGCGCAAAGGTCCTGTACACTGGTAAATAAAGTGTCATCATATATACCCTTGAAGACGAACGACCTCAAAGCTTATTGCAAATAATACATTTATACGCCTTATGTTTATTTTTTGTTACACTAGAAAAATTGTTATTATTCATGCACTTGAAAATCCATACGAGAAATTTTCTATATGCTATATAAACGCTGTATATCATTATTTATAACTTTAAGTGAGCGATACAGGCCAATTCGATACTTGTTTACATATTTGACGCCTGTCTATGCTCTATCATCATATGCGTTTGCTGATTCTGACCACAGAATTAGATTTAAGTCCATGTTCTGACCTTGAATAGGAGTTAATGCTATTTCTTTGAGCAAACCTTGTAACGATCTATGCCTGCAAGCGCATTGCCAACTATAGGAGTCTATGCCATTCGGTTCTTCAGTAATGGTTATTTATAATGATTCACATATTTAATACTCCTTTCTCCTCCAAGCTTACTATGTCCTGTTGTCATTCTATACTAGCAAGTGCACAGAACTGTGTATTTACCCCTTCTAAATGGTAGCAAACCAAACACCAATCATGTACTTTCACTTAGTTTCACTTGGTTTAACTTACTTTATTCTGAACTCAGGCATATATCTGCCTCTATATTCAGATCATAGTCCGTATATGTACTAGTACACAACGTAGATTCATGTCTTTACACCATTCATCAAACAAATATTACAAATACAAAATAATACTGTCAAACAAATTTTATTTTTAAGAATAGAAAAATGAACAATGAGATGAAGAAATAGTGAATGATTATTTTGTGTCTTACCTAGACTCCTCTCACACTGAATGTGATTCAAAAACAATCCATGATCAGTTTCAACATTCAAATATCCTTATCACATTAACAGGTACACTGTGTACCTATGTTAACATCATCAGACAACAGTTGTATGATGTGCCAATACACTTTGAAATGTTATCAGTTTTTTTTTTACTGAGGGATTACCTCCGGGCAAAGCTGGCGAATCTCGACTTACACTCACTCACAAAACCTGAAGATAATTTGTTCAAAATAAAATGGTTAGCCTTACAAATGTACATTTTTCACAGCCATACACATTACAATCTACAGACATTTAGCACATTTTCGATGTAAACACCCATACACAGTACCTTTTTCTCCTTTCGTACCTGGTATAAGTTTACACGCCATACACAATACATTTAATTAGCACAACATGTTATAAGTGTGTTCAGCCATACACAGTACCTTTTTCTCCTTTCGTACCTTGTATAAGTTTACATGCGCATACACAGTACCTTTTTCTCCTTTCGTACCTGGTATAAGTTTACACGCCATACACAGTACCTTTTTCTCCTTTCGTACCTGGTATAAGTTTACATGCTATACACAATACATTTAATTAGCACAACACGTTATAAGTGTCTTCGGCCATACACAGTACCTTTAATTAGCACAACACGTTATAAGTGTCTTCAGCCATACACAGTACCTTTAATTAGCACAACATGTTATACGTGTCTTCAGCCATACACAGTACCTTTAATTAGCACAACACGTTATAAGTGTCTCCAGCCATACACGGTATGTATATCAGCATACATTGAATATTATGCAGTGCCTCAGCACAATCTGGATGTCCTCTACCAAACACAATATTGTTTTGTATATTTACATACTGCACAGTGCCTCTAGAAGATTTGGTTTGAACATAAAGAGACACATGGCACCTCAACATGTTTTGTTTGTATACCTGCTATATTAAAGAGTACCGTATCAATTATTTAATTCTGCGAGTCTAATATTCAGGCGGTGTTCTGATCAGGACAAGTAAGCCAGTTATCAATTTCGTGTAACGTGGTCCTGCAAAAATATCACACTCACGAGGGTACTTTATATTTGGGTGACGAGATTTACTTTACAATTATTTTGTGAAAATCAAGTAAATTAAACACCGAGTTGTTGTTTAATTTCCGTATTCGGCATTAAACAGTTATTATTTTGTGCGAGTCTGTACATACCAATGTATCAATTGTATTTGTATAAATATACATTCATCGAGATTATAATCAATGGGTATTGAATTTTGCGTTATTTTTGTATAATTAGCAACCACAAATAGAGCAAAAATTAAATCCCCTGTGAATAACACCAACTATACCGTACCTTAGCATGTTTTTCATGTTAAGATGCCATACACAGTACACACATTTTTTTTTACTTGCACATTTTGATGTCTATAGCCATACAAGGTGCTCCAAAACATTTTGGATGTAAACAGGCATAACAGCACTAAGGACGTTTTGTATAGTATATACACGCTAGATATCCTGGTACATCACCTAAAGCATGATTTTGACGTTTACAGCTTTTTACAGTGCCTTAGCACTACTTGGCTGTGAATAAGCCATGCAAATATCCTATATACATTCTAGATGCTAAACTCTGTCAATAGCACATTCAAGTTAGCATACCTGTATCTCCAAACAGTAAGCATGTTTTGTATGGACATCCCCATACAATTAGCACATTTTGTGTGGATATCCCCATACAGTTAGCAAATTTTGTATGGATATCCCCATACAGTTAGCACATTTTGTATGGATAATCCCATACAGTTAGCACATTTTGTATGCATATCACAATGTAGTTAGCACATTTTCTGTGGATATCCCCATACAGTTAGCACATTTTGTATGCATATCACAATGTAGTTAGCACATTTTCTGTGGATATCCCCATACAGTTAGCACATTTTGTATGCATAATCCCATACAGTTAGCACATTTTGAATGCCATACACAGTCCCTTTTTACATTTGATTTGGATACAGTCATATTATATGCAGTAGCTAAGCAAACATTGTATATTAAGTACTTTACACAGCACCTCAGAATATGTTAAAAGTTTTACAGTAATGCCCTCAACACCCTGATCAGAATGTAAAACAAGCCCTGTAATGTGCTTAACGTGTACTCGCGATTGAGCCAATACTACTCTTGACAGACCTAACTGATAAGTTGATACACTGGGTCACACAATAGCATTAGTACATATGTACTTAACTCTCTCACTCAATGACGGCCCAAATACACGAATAATAGTTTTACAGGTAATACATGCATTCTCCATAAGACATTTTCATACATTAAACAAATACATATACATCAGGGTTGACTAAATGCAGTTTCACTAAATGTGGTTGTACAGAACGGCACAATAGTTACATCAATTTACACCTTTTACTTCCATGGGATGTGAACGTCAGATTACATCTTAGAACAACTCCTCTTAAAGACAAATTATACATTACACACATAATGCAAAATTCTCACCAGAAACACACATCCTTTCATTAAACTGATCAAATCATTTTCTTCAAATGAACACAAATCATGTACAAATAAACTATAGTACAAACTGTGACCCAGCAGGCATGTGAAGTGACCACCAGACTAGTAAACAATGCTTTAGTATCAGGTGATAATCACTGTTGACCACTTACTTTTGGTTTGGTAGTTTTTGAGATTGCAAATGAAATATTGGACACATTTTCTGATGTCACCTATGCCCTCATCAAATTAAGGAAATACATGAGGCAGGGACGTGGTAAGATGTACCTGTGGCAATAATACGGCTCAAAGTTCCAAAACAAATGTTTTTTTATCCATGTAGACTGCAATTGTATTAAGTAAACAATCCATAGGTGAAATCAAATGCCAAAATTTAATGCTTCAAAAAAGACCAAAATCTCAGAATAGTGAGAAACAAAATTCGAACCTAAGAAATATTGTTCAAACATTAGCATTTCCATGTTATACCTAAATATTTACAAAAGAATTAGAAATTGGACTGGACTCGGCAGTATGAACAGATGGTTAAGTAACACGATCTTGCTCTTTAACCGTTACACTATTGGTAAGAAATTCTCAATATTTATACATCTTGAATGATTACTTTGTCATCATTTTACAAATTTCATAAATGTATTTGACGAATGAAATTAAGTTAGATGATTCATTTATAATCTCAATTATCTAGAAACTAATGGCTGGTTTTGCAATGGCTACAACAAATGGCAGTATTTTAAAACAAATACCTTGAAACAATATAGATATTGTTAACATAACCAAAACAAAATGCAGGGTTTTTGCCAGCTATTTTGGGAAAGGGCCCCTGAGCAGGAATTGGAAAAATATCAGCTGTATTTGGCAAAAATTGGGAAATTTAATCATTGTTTGGGATCCCCTGAGTGACATGTACAGGTTTGGGAAATTATCATAAGTTTGGAAAAAATAAAACCTACAATGTGATTTGCAAAAGGTTTTCCTCTAGCTGTTCCTTATAATAAAATGTATAGCAATAAATTCAGTGTTTTTGTTTATTCAAATGCTCCTTTATGTACGGTAATACTTTGGATGTTGTACATATAACGACTGGAAACTTGCATAAACATTCCTTTAATCCAATTGGGAAAATAAGACTGAAATTGGGAAAAAACAGGGTCATTTTTCAATTGGGAATGGGTCCCTGTATCGGACCCTATAAACACCTGGCAAAACCCCTAAAATGATAATAATAGCATATGAGGTTTCCTAACAACCCTTTGTCATGATCATCATTAGAACATTCTTATCAAGTTTCAGTTAAATTGGCCCATTGAAACTTTTTAGGTTCAGTTTGAAAGATTATAAATTCAAAATGGCAGCCATATTGGATTTCTGATTGAACTGAAAAATAGCAGTACCTTGCATTGTTAGGATTAGAAGTAGATCATCTCACTAAGGTTCAGTTTAATCTACAAATCAAAATTAGCTTTTATGTTTGGAATGGGGTTTTCTGGTGGCTGTGTGACGGCCTTATTGGATTTCGTAGTGACTTTAAAATTAGCATTTCCTCAGGATGGTGTCAGTAATTATTCCCATCAATCGTCTATTTCAGCTTTATTTGAATGAAGTAAAAAATTCATGCACGATGGGTGCCGGTCGAGGACCGACAATAAAGGATTGCAAAAGGTCACCTGAGACTTTGCCACAGCTGAACTAAAAAGAGATGCACTTCTGATATAGCTGGAATCTTAACATCAATTTACATACAAATTACAATCTGAAAGTTTGTCATTTGATTGTAAAACAAATAAATGCAACAGTGAGAACATCTGCATTTAATGTGCTGATGTGAGATAATCAATGAGAAATAACTTGTTGATAAAGACACACTCTACTATATAGCACTTCTACAGGGTCAAATGATTTTTTTCTGCTGTTTTTATTTCACCTAACTACACTTACTACTATCTTTGCATTTTGGCCATAGTTGCTGATTATTTAGATAGTAGACATTTAACATTCATTGAACATACATAGACAGTACTGATTACGAGCGACAAGGATTTTAATTGTCAGGTATAACTAACACTCATTCAAATTGAATGCATTCGCCATTAAGGCAAGAAAAATGGAAGGACTAGCATCGTGACCTATATGTACCTTCTTAGCTAATAGATGCAAGGGTAAGTGACCCTCCAGTACAGAAAAGGTTTAATTGACTTCTATCGGAAACAACGTTGCTGAAAGTTGTTATACACGAATTCAAAATAAGGAACCATTTTATCTTGAAATGCATAAGACTATCATGCAGTGAATTTTCTACCTCTTCATTTGGGAAAATAGCAACCACCAAAAAACACATGATTTTGAAATACGTGATTTTTACATTGATTTTGAATTATTTTTTTATTGAAAAATAGACAAAAATTTTACCCTAATAAATCACTGCTTTGGACAATTTTTTTTATTTTTTTTGGATATATTGAAAATATGCTTTGGTATGCCATTTCTGACCAAAACGGGAGTTTGACTGCACCCCGCTAAACCAAGAAGCGGCAGTAATGGTCAGTCTGATATATCACAGTGTACATCCAGTGTTATAAGTCTGCACAAACCTTTGACTGTTCCTCAAGATATACACACAAAAATAGGATACATTTGCACATTCAACAATACTGGTGAGAACACTCAATCCTGGCTTTCATCACTATCAAAACTTTCTTCACTATCGGCACCGTTATCCGAGTCCAAACCCTCACAGTCGTCAAAGTTCATCACCGGACGTTTTGGTTTGACAATGCCTCGTTGTTTATTAATAAATCTAGCTTCATTTTCTAACAAACTTTTGTCAATGTCCTGGTCATCAGCACGGAACTCCAACACCAGTGGGAATATATGTTCTATTGCCGACTGCACATTAGCAACACATGGCGCTGTTAAAAAAAAAAAAACACAGAAAAAAAAACATTACTAGAATTTTGAAAATATCATCCAGCATCTGAAGTCATATCATAGCACAGGTACTAGCTGCCTCGTCTGTCAATACACCCATGATAGGCCATCATTTATATAAACAAGTACATTACGGGTGCATTGACAGATGAGGCTAGTACCTGTGAGAAAGGTTCTTTCTATATATCAAATGGTTCAAGATCATAACTGAAAATGAAAACAACTAAGCATTGCAATGATGTCTAAAAAATCAAAGCTAAAGTTTTAATCTTGATACCCCTTTATTGATTTTCTTTGCCATGATTTATATTGCTGCCTTATTTAACTCTCCCCATTAATACTGATTACCAATTCAAACAGGCTCCATCTTGCCCAGTGACAGTGAAACTAGTCAGTTAAAAGACACTTCTACAGAAATGTACACATATGCTTAGGCAGACAACATTCCATGATCTTATAACAATGTTGCCCCAAGTTCCATCAGATTTATTTTACAGGTTTTACAACTTTGTAACTGTTATAAGGTCATATGAAGACATTTGTATATATAGACATGGCAAAAATAAGTTTCAAGAGGAAAGAACATATGTCACACCTCACTAGTGAACCTATTGTTTCAAATGAATTGACTTTACTGATAAAGATAACAGTGTACAAATGAACAAGTGAAAACTGAATACTATTTAAGTCTTTCAGGCAAAATCATTTTCTCAATTGAAAAACTACTCAGGTGTTTTTGGTTTGTAAAAAGATTCTTTTAAGACAACCCCTACAATATGACCAGAAGTAGTGATACAATCTAACTAAATCCCCACCCTCCTGTCTCCTCTCTGTGTTCATATAAACACAGGTCTTCATCCCAAGTTAGAACAATCTAACGGATTTGCATTTACATGCAACTGAAATTATGGTCAACATTTTATTACTATAAATTATCACATGACTTTGATCTAATAAGCCTGATGCTTACAGACATGAAGCATTTGACAGTGACACTGATTACCAAAATGGACTAGCACTCACCTGTGACAGTGATACTGCCCGTGGAGAATATTTTCAGGGTGGCTTTAGGTTCCTTTATCCTGTATGTGACACCTGGATGCAGCTCCGGTTCATAGCTTAAAAAGAAACAGATAGATTAATGTTCCATACTGCATAAAGACAATCATATTTCTTTGTAATTGTTTGTACTATTCAGTGATGGAGTAGAGATTTGATCGAAATCAAAACATTTCTAGGCAGTTATTGAATGGAAAGCAATTAACGAATAACAATTAAGCAGCCTCATTAAATAGTTATGCATCACATTGACCAGATCACCAAACTTAGCTTAAGACAGGCCACTATTGAAGTACACACCCAATTTTGTTAAAAAAATAAAATCCCCCCCCCCGCCCATCTCATAGAAATGCATTACTGTGGTAAAATATGCATGCATTATTTTCAAATTAGTATCCCCAAAAAACGGGTTTTAAAAGTAAGGTACAAAGATTTTATAAGGAAATCAGTAATTTTTTGCTCATAACATACATTCGAGTCTACAACTCTCTTATCAGAATGCAATACAGTGGTGATAAAAAAAACAGTAATATAATACACTAAATTTAATGACAAGGGATGCTTCAAGTTCATACTAAACAGTAAATAAGGTTTCGACATAAATGTAAATGCCTTGGAAACAAAACATTTTTGGAAAATCAGAATTATTGCAGAAGTAACCGATTATGTTGGGGTTCAGTTCTGTTAGCATAGACGTAATTTTTTCCAATGCCCATTATATGAGGGGATATGCCTTCTGTTAAGGCCAAATAAAAAATATGTGTTTCCCATTTCGGTTCCAAAAGAAATTAGGGTAGGGTAGGTAGGGAAAACGTTTTATTGATTTTTTTCATTTATTTTTTTCTGGTGAAGAAAATCTCCTGGTTACCACTGTGAATGTTAACAAGAATACCGCGGGGCGGAACAATATATGCCCGTTGAATGCCATATAGTATATACTTTCTTACATTGAAATAAGATCTGCATCATTCTAAGAGTGGTTAACTGACATGCTATAGAAAATGTAGGAGAAAATCTTCAGACAAAAAATCAAATACTGAAATGAATAAAGGGCAATTACTTTTGCAAAAATCGTCGAATCAAAATTCTTTTAAGGGAGCTCGAGACACAACTTCATATCATGATTATAATGTATACCAAGTTTCAAAGAGATTCGTTGAAAAATGTAGGAGGAGATTGCCGGACAAAAATCACTGAAATAAACAAAGGGCAATAACTTTTGCAAAAACTGTTGAATCAAAATTCTGTTCAAGGAAACACAACAACATATCATGATTATTTAGCCTACTAAGTATCAAAGAAATCCGTCAAAAAATGTAGGAGGAGATCTCCGGACAAAAAATCAAATACTGAAATGAACAAAGAGCAATTACTTCTGAAAAAATTGTCGAATCAAAATTCTTTTAAGGGAGACACAACTTCTTATCATGATTATAATGTATACCAAGTTTCAAAGAGATCAGGTGAAAAATGTAGGAGGAGATTGCCGGACAAACAAAAGTTTACGCCGGACTGATTGACAACCCCATACCATAATACTTCCGTCAAATTTGATGGGCGTATAAAAATGCATAACAAATTATATGTACACTTTGAACAATTAAACGTTTAATAAATGCCATACAGTGATGGTGAAAAACCAATAAAATATATTAGGGTCAGCATGAAAAAATAGGGTCGACCGGGAAACGGGAAACACAGGTATATATTTATTTGGCCTAATACAACATTGAGTTGTAAGAAGTATCACAATATAAAAACATGTATGGAAAGATCGCAAAAATAGGTATACACGTGAATAAAGCAAGAATTGACTATACAAGTTATGAAATCATGCAAAAACCAGAAACAATTTAATAGAAGAGTACCTTGCATGTTCAGTATGCTTTCGGGAAAAATTGGTTATTTTGATTTTAAAAGGAAGAATACAGGTTCCAAGGACATTGACAACCCTAAAGTTGGCGAATTTCACTCTGAACCCCAGCCTTTGCAATTGTCGGGCAAATCTCCTTGCTGCAATCTTTGATGCCTCTTCACTGCAACAAATTTATTCCACAATTAAATTCATGTATTCATGCTTCACTTTAAACAGTCATTAGACTCATTGTCTAAATAAAACTTCATGGATTTGTGAGCTACTGAAGATTACAAATCAAAATAATATTGCAATTTCCTTTCCAATATAAACACGGAGAGGTCACGAGGCTTAAGGGTCTCACCAACATATATATGCTCTCTAAATAAGCTCATGATCATAGTGCAGGGAAATACATTTTTGTTTAGGCTCTTAAAAAGAACATAAAGAAAACGTACAACAGAAATTAAAGCTTTCTTGATCTTAACTTGTCACCTTATCACACCAAAATCAATATTTGTCATGATGAAACAATTTTCAATATTATCCTCTACATATTATGAAGCATGGTGAAACTTTATGTATATTGTGGCTTCCACAAGACGTATACTAACACATATGTAACACATATATCGATCTGTCGTCGATTAACGACAGAACTCCGGCCCTCTATAATATGCGGGAAATAAGCGACCCGCGCCCGGGTCGCACTTCAAACTGATATTTTAGAAACAAATCGTCACTTTCACACACTTGTCGTACATGGATCGAAAGATCTATTCTTTATGCACTAGCTATAAATAGGTGGTATCAATAACATGTTTCAAAGATCATTACAAACAGTATTTTCCAACGTTTTCTATACCAATCTATGTTTTTAATGGAAATACGGACATGAGCAATGTCACATGACTTGACGAGATCTCGCACTACCGAAGGTATTTCCCAACGTTATGACGTAGGCCAGCGAGATTTTAGTCACGTTGCATTAGAAGGCGAAGCTATCAAAAAACTAGAGTAAAACAGAGTGAGTTTGAAAAATATGTTTTTAGTGATTGTATTAGTTGTTTGAGGCATGTAATTTATGTTCATCTGGTGCATAAAGAATAGATCTTTCGATCCAAGTACGACATGTGTGTGAAAGTGACAAATTGTTTCTAAAATATCAGTTTGAAGTGCGACCTGGGGCGCGGGGCGCTTATTTCCCGCATATTATAGAGGGTCGGAGTTCTGACGTTAATCGGTGACAGACCGATATAAAAAAAGTCGATAAATGTCAGAATAATTCGGACTAACTAACACAATGAAAGAGTGAAAGTACAAACAAGGCTTTCAGTTGACCCTTGACATTTAACAATTGAAGAAGTCAAATCAAACATCTGATGTGGGCGGATTTGCGTTTTGAAGTAGGGAGACTGGCATCATGGCATGACGTCGTTTTACTTATAATTTCTAATTTTATTATGATAAATGAACATAACTGGTTGACATGAATCTATTTTAATATTATAGTTTTCCTTTCTTAATTACATATAATAGAAATTCAATATTTCAAAGCCTGTTAAGATTAATCAAATATATTCTTGCTATTATGCTGATGATTTAAAGCTAAGTTTCAATTTAAACATTTGCAAAGAACTTCTTTTGTTTGATGTCAGGGAATCATAATCCTTGTGTCACTAATATAGTAATGAGACATAACTTTTGTTTAAAAAGAAGTCAATGATTGGTGTAGTTCAGCTTGTTAATCTCATTAGTTTGGCCAATTACTTGTGTCAATGATGACGCAGCGGAGACAGGTTTTGCCTTGCAGCATTAAAAATTATCTCAAGTTAATTTGGAGCAATCTAAGGAGCAATGGAAATTTTGTATGATTGTCAGATCAATTTCGGAGATTTCCATGTACACATGAGAAACATGAGATTGCTATTTTGATGCTAAAAATGGGAGACTCCTTGTAATATTGGGAGATATCAGATGTAGGTAAAATAGAATTTTACCAGAATTATGGTGAGTCAAAAATCTCAATTCTTTTACATCCGATAGTCAAAGCTCATTTTATCAAGGGTCTAATGAAAGCCCTGTACAAACATTGAAACTTCACATCTAGAGGCGATCGTTATGTGTAAAAGCAGTGAAACTTTGTATCTCAAGGCTCCCCCTATATGTAAAAGAACTGAAACTTCGTATCTAGAGGCTCCCCTTATGTGCACATGTTTAAGCATAGCAAAATTTCGTATCTATCTAGGCTCCCCTTATGTGTTAAAAAGCATAGTGAAACTTCACATCTAGAGGCTCCTCTTATGTGTAAAAGGACAGTGAAACTACATACCTTGTGGCTCCAGTACATGTTATTTTCCCAGAGGACCAAATAGTGGCGGTTGTGTATGGTCGCCTTATTTTCATATTGCACATCTGTAACAACACAAATTTTAGAGAATGCTAATAGCTATAAATAGTGATATTTGAAACAATTTAATAGAATGTCTTTGATAAAATATTTGAAGTTGTATGAATTTATACAAGACAAAAACATGCAATTTCCATTTCATTTAATTTTGTCACTGTATTGCGAGTGGTCATTTCTGCTAACTGTTTAATTTGTTTTTGTACAAATTTCAGATTAGTCACAAAAGACTTTCTAATTTAACCCAGTAAATATTGGTGATATGATGAACTACTTCAGATTACAATTAGTTCTTACATTTAGCAGAAATGACCACTCGCACTACAACACCAACCCACCATAGCTACATCAAATGCATGTCTTTTTGACAGTTATTGATTTTGAATATTTATGTGCACCTAGTATTTTGTGTAAATCAATGAATTGATAAACTAACAATAATATAATTACTAGGCAATCAGTAGGAAAGCCAAAATGTACTTTTATGTGAAATTTGGAATTTATCCTAAATTTCAAAATGGCTTTAAAATTATGTGTTCATTTGAAATCTGTGCTTACTCAGCAGAAAAACAATCTATGCCAAATGACTTGCACAGAGAAGTTGTAATTAATTTGTTTTATATTTTGCATTGCCCAATTGCAAGTTTTCCCTGGCCCCAACACTTGCACAGAGAAGATGTAATTAATTTGTTTTATATTTTGCATTGCCCAATTGCAAGTTTTCCCTGACCCCAACACCAGGCTTACTCAGCGGAAAATCACTCCATGCCAAATGACTTGCACAGAGAAGTTATAATTAATTTGTTTTGTATTTGCATTGCCCAATTGCAAGTTTTCCCTGGCCCCAACACCAGGCTTTTGACAGGTAGATGTATTGTCTGTCATAATGTCAAAAGTATGATGATGTGGCCAGATGATGGCAGATGAAAATTGGGCTGTGTGTTTCTCAAGTTTTGAGCTGAAAACATACACCAAATTCTCTCTTGTATTCAACATGTTTCCCATCCGTAGCGATTCTCCTCAGGTCGAGATGACATCGGGTGCTGTAACTCGCCACTACATTGTTAATAATGATGTCAATTGTTGGTCCGTCGTCTTGTCCATTCTCATGGGCACAATTCTCGTTTGTGTCGTGGGGGTCTATGCGATCATTCAGTGCTGCCGCAAGCGCCTCTCCATTCGTCCCATTCACACTTCCATCTTCACCAACCACAAGTAAGGCAGCCGCCTGTTGACTTTCCGCCATGACATGGGATACGACACTTGACTTTTTTTACCTCAAGTCTGAACTGTTAAACTGTCTGAGCTCACATGACAATACTTTCAATTTTGCGTATTAATAGACTTCAACTGCTGGTGCATTACACAAGCGAGCTCCAAATTACAGCTTTAAACATATACCAATATTTCACAGGAGAATCACACTTATTAATAGATTGTAAAAACTCTAATCCGAAAGTTCCTCATCGTCACTGTATCCAGCCTCTGTATTAAGATTCCGTTCCCAAGTTACCACAGAAAGGCTGAATCAGCAGGACCACTCTCTCCTTTTCTGTACATTGCAAACGTATGCCATAGTTTAAATTGACGGCCGTAGGCCAATATTCATTTAAGAAGTCTCTTCACTGTCACCCGCGTCTTCAAACTGTAATAATCACATAATTATCTAACAATTAAACAACAACAGCGAGATGAAATTGTAGCTGGCGGCCATGCTTTCTCTTCTTTTGCTCTCAAGCCAATCAAATTCGACAGAAGAGTTCAGGGGAAATAACTCTGAAATCCAAACACGAAATGATGGGTATCGCTGTATAATATATATGCTTATGTAAATTTAGATAAAATTATAGTCATATTTTCAGCATGAAATATAAAGTCAATAACGCATTTTCTTGGACGCTGAGTGGCTGCCAGTGATAGTCAGTAATGTAACCAAAAATAATATGTATGATGGAAAATAAATTCATGATTATTCATCATTCACACATATTTTAAATTCACAAAAAAATAATCGAAAAAGCACTCTTTACATCATATTTGACGTGATAATTTTCAATTAATTTAGAACAAAACTAATTTATGAAATGTAATTTAGAGTTCAAACTAAATGTAGTATCATTTTCGTGTATGCCATCTACGAATGAGTTTCGAGTGAATTTCTTTTGTTTTGTTTTGTCAAACCTGTTCTCGTCAGAATACAGAATATAATTTCCCTCCTTATGCGTAACCCATATGGACCCAGTTATATAGTCTAATAATTCAACTCCTAATACGTAGGGATGCAGAGAGCGCAATTGAACGTAACCCCTGGAGTATTGATAACGAAGGCTAATTATTGTACACAATTCATATGTAGCCCATATAGCAAGGAAAATACATCTTTACACACTCATGTGCTACCATTAAAGAGCTATGTTTCTAATGTGTTTCAGTTTGATTCCCCTACTTCCTATAACATCAAGAGAGCAAAGGCATCACAGCAAATGAAACCATCTGTATTAACAACACCACAAGGTAATTGTACTTTATGTTGTGTTAAGTCAAGTTAAGTTAAGTTTAATCAAGATATACCAAATTTGACCTTCACATTTACCCAATGATCTTGAGATTGGGTCAGTTGGCACCTTGTTTGATTTCGACCAACTTCATAATGTCATCAAATAATTACCATCGAAAGATGTAAATTTTAACCTTGACAGTTGACCTAGTGACGTTGACCTTTGGTCAGTTAATACCTTGTTTTATTCCGACCAATTATGCTTCATAGTGTCATAACCAAATCTTCAGCAGTTAAAGGGGCTATTTAGTCAAACGACAACCTGAAAATCGAGTCTTTACTGAAAATATATATATCCTAACAAAACTTGACGTAGTTGATAATGACATGACCGTATTCCAGAAGTACCATACACTTTTGTTCATAAATTTCTGAAAAATCTTGATTGCAACAAAGGTACTGGCCTTGATGGAATTTCTGCCAAATATCTTAGACTGTCAGCAGATGTACGTCATATCAGAATCAATTTCAAAGTTAATGAATATGTGTATCAAAAAGAATGTTTTCCCTGACCAGTTAAAACATGCCAAAGTGAATCCTATTTTCAAAAAAGTGGAGAAAACTTCCGTCAGTAATTATGGACCCATATCTATTCTTCCAGTACTACCTAAACTCCTTGAAAAACATGTACAGTCTACATTTTACCAGTTCTTAAACACTTATCATTTGCTCATTGAAAACCAGTCTGAATTTCGAAATTTGCACTAATGTCAGACTGTCCTTACTGCACTTACAAAATAATTGGTATGATGAACTGGACATTGAAACCTTATTCAAGATTTTCAAGATTTGTATGAACACTCAGACACATAATATGTGTTACATGAGGAAATAAAGTTGCAGATATGGCAAATGAAGTACACATATTTATATACACATGTATAACTGAAAGAATGGACAGTTCAATTTAGAACTGGTACCGTATAGTAACATGATATGACATACAGTGGAAAATACAAAGCAAACATAAACAACCATACATATAATTCCCAAGTTATTTAACTATTAACAGTTATACATATGAATCATTCACAAGAGAGGAGCCATTTTGGTTAGGAAAATAGATAAACCTGTCAGAACTTGTTGATTGCATAATGATAAAAGACCTTTAAACTTGTTAATATTTGGGTTTTGTACAATAATAACGAGGAATATAATTGTAACGTAAGGTGGATATAGTTATATTATTGCATTCAAATAGATAATGAAATTCATCCCGACACTTTCCGCACACATTACATAGTCGATTATATCGGGGTATGTTATACCATCTACTGTTTCAATTGGTTAAATGGTTAATGAGTTTTTAAATAATTATGATGTTAATGTACCAAATACTATTTTTCAAGAATTAGATGATCAGATATCTGATAGTGAAGTGCTCAAAGCTATCAATAAATTGAGTAACTCGAAGGCGTGTGGTCCAGATCTACTGATTAATGAGTATTTTATTAAGAGTAAAGAGGTACTTATGCCATGTCTTGTGGTACTGTTTAACAATGTTTTTAAATCTGGTTTTTATCCTACATCATGGTCGGTAGGTAATATAATTCCTATTTTTAAGAAAGGAGACAAGAACGATACCAATAATTACAGAGGAATTACTTTAGTAAGTTGTTTAGGGAATTTTTTTATATCCATTCTTAATGAGCGTCTTGCTAATTTCGATAGTGACTATTGTAAATTAAGTGATGCTCAGTTTGGTTTTAAGAAGAATTTATCAACTATTGACGCTATATTTGTATTACACACATTAATAAGTAAAACCCTGAAAAATAGAAATAGACTGTATTGCTGTTTTATTGATTACAAAAAAGCTTTTGACTTCGTTAATAGACAGAATCTGTAGTACAAACTTATCAAAGAAGGTATAGAAGGAAAGTGGTTGAATATTATACGTTCTTTGTACCGAGATGTAAAATGTTGTGTAAAGTATAACAAAAAAATGTCAGATTTTTTTCAATGTAAAAATGGATTATTTCAAGGGGAAATTATGTCTCCTCTATTGTTCTCTTTGTATGTCAATGATTGCGAAATTATTTTTTTAACAGAAGGGTGTCCTTCTATAGAGCTACAAACTATTAATATATTTTTAATGATGTATGCAGGCGATATGGTGTAATTGGCCGAAACCTCTGAGGGATTGCAGAAAATGTTAGATACTTTATTACTTTATACAAATAAATGGAATCTTACGGTTAATACTTCTAAAACCAAGGTGATGGTTTTCCGTAACGGAGGTCAATTAAGAGATAAAGATAAGTGGTACTTTGATGGAGGTGTTTTAGATATTGTAGATGAATTTAATTACCTGGGTATATTAATGAATTTTAATGGTAAATTCAAAAAAACTCAACAAAAAAACGCTGAACAAGGAAGAAAAGCATTGTTTTCAGTATCAAACGTGTCTAAGAAAAAATATTTTAACGTTGAAACTCAGCTTCATGTTTTCGATACATATGTCTGTAGTATTTTTAATTATGGAGCGGAAGTTTGGGGCTTTCATAAAGCACCAGATATAGAGAAAATACATTTAAGTTATTGTAAAAGATTATTAGGGGTTAAGAAATCTACTGCAAATTTTATGGTTTACCAAGAATTAGGAAGATTGCCTTTGGAAATTATTAGGAAATTTAGAATTTTTAAATACTGGTTAAAATTAAAACAAACTGACAATTGTGTTTTACATGCATGTTATCAAGAAATGTTAGAAAATGGTAGTGAATGGATGAATGGAGTAAGAAACGAACTATTTAGAATGGGAGTAGGGTACATATGGCAATATGGAGATACCTATACATCCGATTATATTATAAATATTATTAAAAGCAGAATGTGTGATATATTTACGCAAGAATGTAAAGAAAAAATAGATTCATCTTCTAAGTGTTCACTGTACAAGTTTATTGGCGAAAATTTCTGTTTACAACCATATTTAACAAAACCCATAGGAAATACAAATCTGAAAGAAATTACAAAAATTAGACTGTCATCTCACAAATTAAATATTGAAATTGGTAGGTATAACAATGTAGATAGGATTGAAAGAACATGTGCATACTGCAACAGTGGGGATATCGAAGATGAATTTCATTTTATATTAAAATGTGAATGTTTTTTAGATTTAAGAAAGCGTTTTATTAAGAAATATTACTATGAAAGACCTAGCATGTATACATTTATCCAACTTATGGAAACAGGGAACAAAAAACAGTTAAAAATTTAGCCAAATATGTTTAACTGAGTAATAAGAAAAGAAAAAACTATGTACCTATATAAAGAGGGATGTCTCTCTACACTATACAAATGGGTATGTGAGTGTGTATTTGTGTGTGTGGGTGTATTTGTGGGGGTGTATAATGGGTGTGAGTGATTGTATTGTTTATCCTTGTATATATGTTTATTTTGAACTGATGAGCCGTAAGGTTCAAGGTAATAAAGAACTGAACTGAAACAATTGGAAACTTCAAATTCGAAGTGCGCAGTTTTGTTATTGGTGTTCTGATATGTTCTGGCAAATTTAGTAAATATTTTTCTAGACCAAATTCCGTTTTAAATAGAGTGTAGTACTGCCCACGACATGAGCTAGTTATGTCATCGAACCATTGCTGTGCAAAGTGATCAATAAGCCGTTGTTTTAAAATGCATTTGTAAAATCCATCGAGCATCTGTAATTTATTATCAAATATGTATGAAAATCCCGTTTCGTTGAAGATACCTTTTACATGGTTAATCCATTTGAACGAAAAAGTATCATCGCTTTGCATATGTAAAGCCAGTCGTAGTAATATGCAGCTGAGTTTGTTTTCATTACTAATTATTCTATTCCAAAAACCTAACATTCTTACTTTACACGACCTAGCTCGCCATAAATCATAGAATTAGGTGTTGTAGATCTCACTTTAAGAATCCTTTTACAAAACTTAAGATGAATCTGTTCGATCATTTTCAGGTTTTCGAATCCCCATACATCCGATCCATACAATAGAATCGGTTCCACTAAAGAATCAAATATTTTCAATTGTAAATCTATAGGAAGAGAAAGTTTCCTGATTTTTTTGTGTGTATAGCAAATATTGACTTTTGGGCCTGGTTTATCAATCTGCGTTTTGCGTTTACAAAATTGCCATTGTAATTAAATGTTCTTCCTATGTAAGTGAGTTATCTAAAATTTC